GGGGCGGCAGCGCGCCGCTCCTCACTCCTCCGAGTTTCCTCGGACAGAGGCTCCGCTGCAGACGCTTCACATGGACGTGTGGGGCCCAGCCCGCGTCCGTGGACAGGGTCACAAGCGTTACTTCCTGCTGGTGGTTGACGACTACTCGCGTTACACCACAGTCTTCCCCTTGCGCAGCAAGGGTGAGGTCACTGAGGTGTTGATCGACTGGATCCGCGCAGCTCGTCTCCAACTCAGAGAGAGTTTCGGCTCGGACTTTCCTGTTCTGCGTCTGCACTCCGACAGAGGCGGTGAGTTTTCCTCTGACCTTCTGCGAGCCTTCTGTCGTGCACAGGGCATCCGCCAGACGTTCACGCTTCCGGCCTCTCCACAGCAAAATGGGATTGCTGAGCGCCGCATTGGCATGGTCATGGACGTCGCTCGTACGTCCATGATCCATGCGGCTGCTCCCCATTTTCTGTGGCCGTTCGTGGTTCAGTACGCGGCGCATCAGATCAACCTTCAGCCCCAGGTCTCCCTGCCGGAGACCTCCCCTACTCTGCGGTGGACGGGGAAGGTTGGCGATGCGTCTGCGTTTCATGTCTGGGGATCTCGGGCTTTTGTCCGCGACTTGTCTGCGGACAAGCTGTCCCCCCGTGCTGTTCCCTGCGTCTTCCTTGGCTTCCCCCCCCTGACGCGCCTGGTTGGCAGTTTTACCACCCCACCTCGCGCCGTGTTCTGTCCTCCCAGGACGTCTCGTTTGACGAGTCGGTCCCCTTCTACCGTCTCTTCCCCTACCGCACTGCCCCGCTCCCCCCTCCGCCGCTCTTCCTCACGCCAGGTGCTGCCTTGGTAGACCCCTTGCCTCCCCAGGTTCCTGCTCCCTCAGGTGTTTCCCAGGTAGACCCGGTCGAGCCTGTCGAGGTAGCTGTCGACTCTGGTCCTGCGCGAGGTACTGAGCGTGCTGAGCCTGGTGGTGCTGGGTCTGGAGGTACTGAGCCTGGGGGTGCTGAGCCTGGGGGTGCGGAGACTGGGGGTGCTGGGCCTGGGGGTGCGGAGACTGCGGGTGCTGAGCCTGGGGGTGCAGAGACTGCAGGTGCTGAGCCTAGGGGTGCTGTCCCTGGGGGTGCTGGGTCTGGAGGTCCTGAGCCTGGGGGTGCTGCGCCTGGGGGCGCTCTCTCTTCCCAGCAGCTGCGTGAGTGGTACTCTCGGTACTGTCGCAGCCTCCGTGGTGCTGCTGGAGCTGGAGCTGAGGGCGCTGAGCCTACTGGAGTTGGTGTTGCTGCTGACCCTGGGGTCGGTGCTGGGGGTGCTGGAGCCTCTGGTCATGGAGGTGCTCGTACTGGCGATACTGGAGCTGCTGGGACTGGGGGTGCTGCTGGGGCTGTTGGAGCTGGTCCTGCTGGAGGTGCTGCTGGTGCTGCTGGAGGTGCTGGAGCTGCTGGCGGTGCTGGAGCTGGCGGTCCTGCTGGAGTAGGTGCTGCTGGAGCTGCTAGAGCTGGAGCTGCTGGGGGTGTTGGCGCTGGAGGTGCTGCTGGCGCTGGTGCTTCTGAGGGTGCTGGAGTTGGCGCTGCTGGAGCTGGAGGTGCTGCTGGCGCTGGTGCTGCCGCTGGGGGTACTGGTGCTGTCCCTGCTGTTTCTGGAGGCGCTGCGCGGCCGCGGCCGTACTTCGTTCCGCTCCTTGAGCAGGTTCTTGGTCTCCCGCCTTCTACTGGTCCTGCTCCTCCCTTAGAGTGTCCACAGCCTGACCAGTCGCAGTCACAGTTACTGCCCGCCTCCCCACTGCCTGCTCCTTCTCCCTACACTGGTCCTACTGGAGGTCTTGCTGAGCGTCGTGCGCCTGCGTCTCGTCCTGCGTCGCCTGTTCGTGCTGCTCGCACTAGTCGTCGTGTTCTGCGTCAGCGTCCTCCTGCGGTCCCGGGCACGCACCAGATGGCACTGCGTCCTTCCACTGCTCCGCAGCGTGTCCCTTTGCCATCTCCTCCGGAGTCCTCTCTTCCTGCTCTTGCTGACCCGGAGTCTGACTCTCTTCGTGCTGCCAGTCCTACTGTCACGCGTCTCCTGGCTACTGTTGGTCGACTTCGCTGCTCACTGTCGTCTAGACTACGCTGCTAGTCTTGTTGCTGAGTCTGAGTCTGTCTGTCCTCCGTCCGTCGGGGCTGAGTGTGCTCTTAGCACGGACGTCCTTGAGGACAGGCAGGAGGAGTTCCAGTGCTTTGCTGCTGCTTTGCCTCATCTCGTGTCCATGCTGATTGCCCCTGAGGGAGACCCGGATGCACCAGACATCCCGACTCCGCGCTCTTACGCAGAGGCGATAGAGGGTGTGTACGAGATAAGACATATGTGTCTTATAATCGAAACTGCAATATATTATAGTGAAAATTGAAGTACCGCGTACATTTTTACCATTGCGACACGCGAATTCTGCCACGTGCTGACTCACGTACTACCAAATTTGCCTTTGCAAGTATTCTCCATGACGTGGCAACCCGAACAATGGTTGCCGAAGTGGCACCTTCGCAACATCCACACTCATAATGAGAAACTCTTTTCAAGATGTGTGAAAATATTTCTAAGTAGTTTAAAAAAGTTTCCATTTATAAGACTTATAAGACACCCAAAACCTCCCCAAATACAAGATAACCCAAGCATTTTTTTTAGTGTATGAGATAAGACATATATGTCTTATATCCGGGCGATGACGGTAACTGCCGCTGCCGCGCCTGGAAAAGCCGAACAGGAGGGGCCGCTACACACAGAGGTAAGCCCGGTAACTCGTGGCGGATAGTCGCTGGCAGTTGCTCAAGAGCCTTGACAAACCACGGGTCAAGAAACTCTGCCCCTGTCGAAGTGGTGAGGTACTCTGCAAACATCGCCTCCTCACCCGCCACCCCTAACTGTGCAATGTCATGCGCGGCCTGCGCCCACCCACAAACATAGGACAGTGGGCTCAAAGAGGCCGCCGCCCGGATCCCGAACCCTCCGAGTCGCACTGGGAGATGCAGCTGCATGCGTGCGCGCCTAGACCGGTCGGGGTCCTGCTCCCAAGTGCCAGGTGGGAAAAGCTGCTCAAAGCAATCCTCTAAGCAGCTGTCCCAATCCCTAAAAGCCTCAACCACCTCCGGACGCGGCGGCATAGTCCGGGCGAGGTACATCGGCCGTGCTGAAACTGCAATGGCGAGGAGGTGTGAAGCCATCTGAGGGTGGTCGAGCAATTGGAGCCATGGCAGTGGCGCCTGCAACTGTCGAAGCCGCTCCCGTAGCCGGACCACCTCCCAAACCTCCTCCCCAATAGGCACGCCCACCACAGTAAGACCCTCATCCACCCGCTGCATCCCCAATGGCAGTGCCCGCTCCACCTCCTTGCCCTCGCGCTCCCAAAACCGGCACTTGTGTGCCTGCACCTCCAGCCCCACCCACTCCAACCGCTCCCGCAGCACCCCAAAAGCCTCCAGAATCCTAGCCGCTGCCCCCAAAATATAGGTATCGTCCGCATAGCTGAGGAAAAGCAGGTCCTTGAACTCCCTAGTAACCGACTCCATCACCTGCTGCTGCGTGAACGCGAAAAGAAAAGGGCCGAGCGGGTCCCCCTGCCTCGATCCCCGTGCTGACTCGAGGCTCTGTACGAAAGGGCCTGCTCGGAGGTACAGGTCGCTAGGTGTCCCATAAAAAACACGCAAGAATGGGATCATCCCTGAGAAAGGCGACTCCCGCAGCCCATCGAACATCACATGACGGTGAAACGAATTGAAGGCGTTTGCGACGTCAATCTGTAGCGCACACCAGTCGGGGTGAGTGGCCAGCGCTGACCGAAAAGAATGAGTGAGAATCTCCGCCCCGCCCCTGGTGCCCGCTCCCAGCTGGTTGCACGGCAGGAAGTAGGAAACCATCGCAGGGTGGAGCGAGATGCAGAGAGCTCGAGCAAGGATACGAGGAAGCACCTCCCCGATCGCCACCGGCCGGACGTCGCCGTTAGGCTTGGAAAGCCCGACTAGGTTGGACGCGGCGAGCCACGGCCGAGCCCGCTCGGGGACCTGTCCCGCCACCCATTGGTTGAACACTTCCAACAAGTGGGAAAGGCAGGAAGGTTCAGTGAGGAAGGTGTCGCGCAGATGCTCTGTGACCCACCCCGATAGCCCTGCTGCTGAAGCTCGAGCGGCTGTATGGATAGCTCTGGCCAGGATGTCGGTCGTGAGTGAAGGCCGCTGAGCAATATCGATGGTGAAATCGCAGACCCACTGTGGTACCTCGCCAGCGCTAGCCGGGTGCTTCTCTCGCAGCGACTGCACCATGGCCTCAGACGGTCGAGCCAACTCCCCTGCTGTAAGGCAGGCCAATCCTCGGCTCCACTCCCCCACTTTGCACCGAGATCGGCACCGTGACAGGCGGATGGCATCCGGGTCCTGGTCAGAGCAAGTGTAGGAAAGTGGGCGAACTGCTGGCCGCGCCGCCACCATGGCAGAGTCGAACAGCTCCCGCCACCTCCCCTCCCAGAACGCACCCAACCGCTCTGTGATCAGCGCCTTCTGACCTATGCCTGGCTTGGGAGGCACGGCTAGGATAAGGCGCGGAAACGCCAAGAGTAGGAGGGTAGCGGCTTCATCTCCAGGCTGGCTCTTCAAGCGCTTAAGGATGCAACACAGCGCGTCTAAGACCCCCGACCTGGCCCGCTGTGGGATCCGGCGCACTGTCCTCCCTCCAACCGCCTCCACACTGAAAAAAGTTTCCCATTCCCATGACGTAACCCCAGCCCACGCCTCGTCCCCAAATTCCCGCGGCGTCGATCGCTCCTGCGTGTCGGTCTCCACCAGAGAAGGAATCGAGCCGAGAGCCTGTGCACGCCTCTCCGCCTCAGCCGCCCGGCATACCCTCATGTTTGTATGCTGGTTATGTGGTTATGTTGTATTGCTGTGGTTATGTGGTTATGTTACGTGGTTATGTTGTTTCGAATCAACACTTGAAAACGGAAATGTACAAAACCTTCATCTTAATATCGAAGAGAACCATTACCTCAGCAGGCATTATCGGCAATTTCGAGATTCCCCTAGAGTAGTACTCGCAGGAGGCCCCGCTTCCACACGCTCATCACACGACTCGTGCGCCGCGCGTCGTCCGCCGTCACGCTCCTCACACTGCAGCTGCCTAGCTTCTCGGCCTGCGCCGTTCGCTCCGGGCCCTCGCGTCTCTGAGAATTTCCTTCCGCCCTTTCCGCTGTTTCCGCCCCTTCTGCCGTTCCGCCGCTGGCCGCCGGGGAGAGAGAAAGGGAGCAGCGGCGCAACACTCAGGTACGGGCCTCCCCCCCACGCACTCCCCATTCCTCCCGCGCCCTCCGGAGCTCCTCCCCGCCGTCTCAGCTCTCCCAGCCCTCCCCAGCGCTCCCCGACACCACCGTCGCCTGCCGTCGCCCCTCGCGCGCCTTCCGCCCTCCGTGCGTGCCGCCCTCCGCCCTCCGTGCGTGGCCCCTTCCCCGCTCTCCCCCGCCCTTCCACGCCCCCCCCCCGCCTTCCCACGCCCGCCTTCCCCCGCCCTCCTTCCGCCGCCCTCCCCGGCGCTCCTTCGAGGACGCCACCATCGCCTGCCCTCGCCCCTCGCGCGCTGCGAGCGCCTGGCCCACCACGGTGCACTGCGCCTGCTGACCGCTTGGGGGAGGTGAGCGCGCAGTGGTGTAGAGGCGAGCGCAGCGCAGGGAGCGCTGCGCCACACACCATCCTCACATGCCACAACCGCATATTCCGCATCCGTTCATGCTGCACCCTCTCCCGTACCTTCTTCCCCACGCAAGCTTCCTTCTCTCTTTCCCCTCCGCCACCCTCCCCTGCTTATGCTCCTGTCCGCTTTTGCCACACCCGCACATGCGACTGCGCGCAGTGCACACGTGTCAAGAGGACGTGACGTGGCAGGGGAGCCTGTTGGGAGACTTCAACGACGAGTCCCGTGGCTTGCTGTTGCTGCACTTCAAAACTTTCATTCCCTGAGGCAGCCTCATGAGGAGAAGGCAACGGGGAGCAGCCCATTTGTGAGGCGACTCAGTCAGAAGGAGACCCTTGGCTTGTTGAACTTCAAATCCCTCAATCTCCAGGCAGCCTGAGGAGCAGGCAAGGCAGACCAGCCCCCCCCCCCTGTCGCAGCGAGGAGGAGAGGTCGCTGAAGGGGGAGAGGAGAGGCCTTTGTAGCAGGCGAGGGAGGTGGGGTGAGGAGGAGCTGCCCCTGTAGGAGGAGCTGCCCCTGTAGGAGGAGCTGCCCCTGTAGGAGGAGCTGCCCCTGTAGGAGGAGCTGCCCCTGTAGCAGGAGCTGCCGTGGGGGGGGCAGCGAGCAGCGAGCAGTGAGCAGCGAGCAGCGAGCAGCGAGCAGGGAAGGAGCGAGCAGGGAAGGAGCGAGCAGGGAAGGAGCGAGCAGGGAAGGAGCGAGCAGGGAAGGAGCGAGCAGGGAAGGAGCGAGCAGGGAAGGAGCGAGCAGGGAAGGAGCGAGCAGGAAAGGAGAAGTGATGGGAGCGCCAAAGCAGAAGTGGACAGCGGAGGAGGAGGGGGCACTGAGGGCGGGGGTGGACAAATATGGGCCGGGCAAGTGGCGTGCCATTCAGAAGGACCCTGTTCTTGGCCCGCTGCTCACTCATCGCTCCAATGTTGATCTCAAGGTTCGTTTGCCTCACGGTGTGTGCTTGGTTTGGTGGGGGTGTGCTGCTGACCTCAAGATGCCCCCCTCACCCAACCCCCAATCTGCTCACCCACCGCTCTAACGTGGACCTCAAGGTTCGTGTGTGCTGCTTGGGTGGGCCCAAGGTCCCCGCTGGGGTGTGGTGCTACTGGGTTAGGGTGTTCAGTGGTGTACAAGTACGGCTCTCTTTGATATCCAGACATAGCTCAGCGAGCTGCGTGCGACTCAATGGTGTTCAGTGGTGGACAAGTACGGCTCTCTTTTTATGGCGCAGAAGGTGTGCTGGTGCTGGCCGCAAGGTGCACTGGGCTGGAGCGAGCGTCGGTGAGGACAAGTGGCGTGCCATTCAGAATTGAGACGTCTCAAAACTAGGACAAGTGGCGTGCCATTCAGAAGGACCTTGCTGTAGGGCCGCTGCTCACGCACCACTCCAACGTTGACCTCAAGGTGCGTGTTTGTGCTGGGGTGGGGTGAAGGTGAGTTGAGCTGAAGGTGTGAGGGGGTGCTGCTGAGGGCGCGAGTAGACAAAGTACGGCCCGGGCAAGTGGCGCGCCATCCAGAAGGACTCTGTGCTTGGCCCTCTTCTCACACACCACTCCAATGTCGACCTCAAGGTGCGCCGGGCTGGGGTGAAGGTGAGTCTCTTTTCCCCTTTGCCCACTTCCCCTCGTGTGCACGACAAGTGGCACAACATGACAGCAGCAGCCACAGGCGGCGGCAGCAGCCACCAGGGTGCAGCCCTCCTCACTCCCTCACCGTCTTCCCCACCCCCTCTTCCCGTTTCCCCATCCACAGGACAAGTGGCGCAACATGACAGCAGCAGCCACTGGCGGTGGCAGCAGCGCCAGTGCAGTGGTGCCCGTGCCACGAGTGCGCGCCCCCAGGGAGCAGCGGGCGGCAGCAGCAGCTGCGCGCGCTGAGCTGGCAGCAGTGGTGGCGATGGAGGAGGAGGAAGACGCCCTATTGGCCGCCGCTGCTGGCAGCGACGCTGACGTGGCTGCTGACGTGGCTGATGGCGCTGATGATGGTAGCGGCGCTGCTGACGCGGATTTTGCTGGTGGGGGGAGTTATGGGGGCGCAGGGGCGGGGGAGAGCGGATCTATGGGCGGGGCTGGGGGAGGGGCGGATGGGGAGGCAGGGGGAGAGGGCGTGGGGGGGGGCAGCGCGAGCAGTGGGCGCACTGGCAGTCGAGGGGGGACGGGGGAGGAGGGGACGTGGGCCGTTGTACCCTCCGCTGCTGCTGGCGCTGCTGGCATGGGCCTTGCTGTGGCCAGCAATGCCAGGTAATGCATTTGTGCTGCTGCTGTTGCTGCTGCTGTTGCTGTTGCTGTTGCTGTTGCTGTTGCTGTTGCTGTTGCTGTTGCTGTTGCTGTTGCTGTTGCTGTTGCTGTTGCTGTTGCTGCTGCTGTTGCTGTTGCTGTTGCTGCTGCTGTTGCTGTTGCTGTTGCTGTTGCTGCTGCTGTTGCTGTTGCTGCTGCTGTTGCTGCTGCTGTTGCTGTTGCTGTTGCTGTTGCTGCTGCTGTTGCTGTTGCTGTTGCTGTTGCTGTTGCTGTTGCTGTTGCTGTTGCTGTTGCTGTTGCTGTTGCTGTTGCTGTTGCTGCTGCTGTTGCTGTTGCTGTTGCTGCTGCTGTTGCTGTTGCTGTTGCTGTTGCTGCTGCTGTTGCTGTTGCTGCTGCTGTTGCTGCTGCTGTTGCTGTTGCTGTTGCTGTTGCTGGTGCTGCTGCTGTTGCTGTTGCTGCTGCTGCTGCTGTTGCTGCTGCTGGTGCTGTTGCTGTTGCTGTTGCTGTTGCTGCTGCTGTTGCTGTTGCTGTTGCTGTTGCTGTTGCTGTTGCTGTTGCTGTTGCTGTTGCTGCTGCTGTTGCTGCTGCTGCTGCTGCTGCTGCTGCTGCTGCTGCTGCTGCTGCTGCTGCTGCTGCTGCTGCTGCTGCTGCTGCTGCTGCTGCTGCTGCTGCTGCTGCTGCTGCTGCTGCTGCTGCTGCTGCTGCTGCTGCTGCTGCTGCTGCTGCTGTTGCTGTTGCTGTTGCTGTTGCTGTTGCTGCTGCTGCTGTTGCTGCTGCTGCTGCTGTTGCTGCTGGCTGCAGCAAGATTGCGTGAGGCAACGGTTAGATGCAACAAGGTCGTTGCTGGTGCTTGTTGCGAGCTGCTTGCTGCCGCAACGTTGAACAAGCACAATCTATCAGCTGAAGGAGACTCAGTGCGGCTGTGGATTTCGAAGTCTGTTAGCATTGTATGTGGGATTTGAACTCACTGGATTTGCTTGTGCTTGCCTCTTGCTTCTTGCTGCCTCTGTTTTCATACTTTTTGGCTTGGCATGCTATTGCATGGCACGAGATGGCATGGCATGACACGTCACGGCACGGCATGGCATGGCACGGCACCTCCCGCACGGCATGGCATGACATGGCACCTCACCGCACGGCATGGCATGGCATGGCAGGTTGGATGAGGCGATTATGATGGCGGTGGCGTCGCTGGAAGGCTCTCAGGCAGTGCATGGGTGCTCCGCTGCAGCTGTTGTGAAACACATTGAGGTGCGCCCCTGGCTTTAAGAGAATCATTCAGTGGCTCTGACTGGCTCTGACTCGATCCATCACACCACACTGCATCGCAGCACATCACAGCACATCGCATCTCATCGCAGCACAGCACAGCACAGCTCATCCTATGTCTCTGCAACGCATCACACCGCACTGCATCACTGCACATCACATCACAATCTCATGATATTCCATACCATCATCACACTGCATGGCACCGCATCGCACCGCACCACGCCGCTCAGCGCATCGCATTCCTTGCCCTATTCCCCCCTACTCTCCCCCCCTCCGCCCCCCCCCAATCCCCTCCTAGGATCACCAAGCATGAACCCCTGTAACACTGCCCTGTGCCTTGCCACTCATTCTCCCTGTGCACCCACCCTTGCCTCCGCAACCCCCTCCCTCGCCCCTTTCAGGACCACCGTGCATCACCACCCAATCTGAGCTGCCTCGTGCTGAATCTCATGAAATTTACTGGCCGTACATCAGTCCCGCTTCCCACTCATTGTCCCTGCCACCCCCACAACCCCCCCCCCTCTCCCTCTCCTTTTCCCGCCCCCCTCCCACCCGTCCTCTCTCCCATCACCCCCCAGGACCACCATGCATCACTGCCCAATCTGCGCCGCCTGGTCCCGCATCGCCTCAGAGCGCTCTCAGAGGAGGGTTGCCTGGTGAAGGTGAGAGCAGGGCTGATAGAACACCATGTAGGTGCCATGGTTCAATTCTTGGCAATATGTGGATTCATACAGCGCTCTCGGAAGAGGGTTGCCTGGTGAAGGTGAGAGCAGGGCTGCCATGCCATCATGCCATCATGCCATCACCCCATCATGCCGTCATGCCATCACCCCATCATGCCATCATGCCATCATGCCATCATCCCATCATGCCATCATGCCATCATGCCATCATCCCATCATGCCATCAAACCTCTATCCCCTCCCACTCCCCCCTCTTCGATTTCTAAGACGCACCAATTGGCCACTGAAACACCTTCTCTGTGTTCCTTGCATACTCACGTAGTGCCACCCCCTGCTTTTCTCCCAACCCACTGACAGGTGAAACAGCTTTACCACTAGCCTCGCAACGCACGCCTGGCTCTCCTCTCTCACTCCCACTTATTGGCAGGCGAGGCACCTCAACCACTTGCATCACATGCTCACATGCTCGTAATGTCCGTCCACCTTCCCTGTGCCCCCCACCCACTGGCAGGTGAAGCAGCTCTACTACTTGCCTCGCGACGCACCTCTGGCCCTCCTCTCTCACTGCCACCCATTGGCAACGGAAGCAACTTTGCTGCTTGCCTCGCGTGCTCACTTGCTCATTGCGCCAACCCCCCCCACTGGCAGGTGAAACAGCTCTACTACCTGCCTCGAAATGCACCACTGGCTCTCCTCTCTCACTCCCATTCGCACGCCCACTCACACCCTCACTCGCTCACCCACAACCATGACCAAGGGCTAGGGCCAGGGCATGTGTCAGGGCAAGCGCAAGTGCAAGGGCTGGTGCAGCTGAATTCGCCTGCATCTGTCCGGAGGGCACGGGGGGAAGGCAGGCGGTCGAGTTGGCATGGGGACGGGCTGGATGGGGACAGTGCGGGGAGAGGGGGGTGGGGGGGGAGTGGCAAGTGGGAGAGTGAGGAGGGGAGGGTGGAGTGGGGGAGCCGGGGGGGTGTGAGGAGGAGGGATGGTCGGAGTGGCAGGGTGGGCAGTGGGAGTGCTGCAGAGAGGGCGGGGGAGGGTAGAGCCAGTGGGGCAGCAACAGAGGGAAGGGCGGGTGGGGTTGCAGCAGCAGCAACAGCAGCAGCAGCAGGGGTAGAGCATCATTTAGGCATGCGTTCTACAGCTGCTCTTCACTCCTCTTCCCCCTCTGCCCCCACTGCTGCTGCTGCCGCTGCTCCAGTGGATAGAATAGCAGCAGACCTGTCGCAGGCCCACCTCTCCCCTCTGCAGAGCACCCACACGCCATCTCATGCTTCTGCTGCCGCCGCAGCCGCAGCCGCCGCCGCCGCCGCTGCTGTTGCTGCAAGCACGGGTCGTGCTGCTCCCAGTGCTCCTACCGTGGGCCATTTTAAGAAGCTTCGCTTCCCGTCGCAGCAGTCAGCAGAAACAGGAGGAGGCAGCGAAAGAGAACCAGGCATGCAAGACGAGACCGAAACTGGGAGAGCAGGCGAGTGTGTGGGAGGAGCAAAGGAGGGGAAAGCGGTGGGTGCAGCGCAGAGTGTGTGGTTGCAAGAGCTGGCAAGGAAGGCAGCAGAGGCGATGGCAGAGGCAGAGGCAGCTGTAGCAGAGGCGGAGGCGGCTATGAGAGAAGCGGAGGCCATGGAAGCTGAGGCAGAGGCAGCAGAGGCAACAGCGAGAGAGCTTGAGGCCAGGCGGCAAGCTGCTGCCGTCAGCTCATAGCAGTTCGAATGCGGTAGGAGATTTGGTAGGGGAAGCGGCAGGGGAAGCGGCAGGGGAAGGGGCAGGGAAAGCGGTGCGTGCAGCATCTGGCACGGAAGGCAGCAGAGGCGATGGGAGAGGCAGAGGCAGCTGTGAGAGAAGCGGAGGCCATGGAGGCCGAGGCAGAGGCAGCAGAGGCAGCAGCACGGGAGCTGGAGGGCAGGAGGCACGCTGCTGCTGTCAGCTCATAACAATTCGTTACTGGTGTCAGCGTGGGCATGGTTGACAGCACCAGCTGCCACCTCTGCACCTGCTTGCTTGTATGTGTGGCAAGAGGTGGCAGCGAGGGAGCTGGAGGGCAGGAGGCACACTGCTGCTGTCAGCTCATAGCCCGTCTTCACTGCCGTGCCGAGAGAGAGAAAATACAATGAATCAGCGCTGAACACTCTTGCTGCAGTACATCCACGCCGAAACGAAAACATGTGCTAGAAAATTGTGCATCAGATAAGAACCTACTGCGTCAGCACTAGAATCGAGCACAGAAAGCGGGGGGTGCGTATAGGCACCCAACCCGGAGAAACACACGGGTGTGAAACAGCCGGGGTGGCATATATTTGCGGGGTTACAGTAACGAAAAAGGTGATTACTACCACAAGTACCGAAAATGAAGCGGAAGGGCAGCAAAACATACTGAGGGACCTAGACAGGCGGGGAGGGGAGGACCCTGGAAGGTGATCTTGGGTTGGTGCTGGTGTGGGAACGCCAAGTTTGAAGGCGACTCAACTAGCTTTGGGAGTCGAGAAGGTAAGGGGAATTTTCTTACCCCAAGAGTTATGTTTATCCTGATGCACAATTCTAGGCCTTTGATGGTAGATGAATTCATTCAATCACTCTCTATAAATGGAAATACAAGTATTTTATATACCTATTATATAAACACTAACCAGGCAGGGAACAACAAGGCTAAAACGCGTAAACAGTACACATAATCCACTCCCTGCTGGTCACCCAGTGATCAAAATGTGAGGCAGCAAATCGTCGAACAATCCATTGTTGCAGGCTTCCAAAGCAGCACGTTTGTCATGAGTCCAAACCAAGCCTACACGCAGGCAAGCTCGCGCATCTTTTATCCGCAAATCCACTCTCTCAATGGATGGCTTAGCAACCCATGGAACATGGATGATCTATGAAACCCCCCAGAGCAACCGTCATGGTTCCTCCAATCGCTGCTTGCCTGTGTGCGCTGTCTAATCCCGCAGCTCATCTTGTCCCGCAGCGCAGTCCTCAACTGTGACCGACCCGTTCCCTCCCTGCGCACAGGTTAGCTTGTCGCATTTCCTGTCGCTCAAAGTCGCCTAGTACTTCCGCCGCGCGCCGAATGCGGTCGTCCCTGGCGCGGCGTTTCTCCCCGGCCCGCCTGCCGCGGAGCGTAGCGAGGGCGCTGCTGGGGGCGGCGTGGGTGGCGGGATGGGCGGGGCTGTGCGCGTGGGTGGTGTGGTTCGCGCACTCGCAGGCCGCCAATCCGCGGCAGGAGGCGATGCGAGCGTGGTGTCGCACGCGCGTGCGATACCTCCAGCAGGACATGCGATCGTCCATCGCCCGTGCGCAGGTACGGCGATTAGCGCAGCCACGAGACAAGGGCGACGGGATCATGTCCCCCTCATCGCGACCGCATCGTCCCCGCGCGCCGCGTCCGCGGGTGAGCTGGTGGCCTCGGAAGAAGTTGCTAGCCCAACTCCCTCGCAACTACCTCTCCCACGGCTGCCCTGGGAACCTTAAACGAAGCGCATTGTAGCGCGCAGGGGACAAGATCCCTATTTGAATCCGGGTACGCACTCTCGCAACGGCACCCGCTCTCGTCCTAACATCCCAGCATCCGCGCACGCGATTCACTAGCCCCAACCCGAGCAGTCGGATCGCCCCTTCTACTCGCATCCTCTCCTCACCTCTCCCCGACAACACCTTGACTTGACGGCGGGGACGTTCCCTTCACTGCCCAGCCTATAACGCCGCCTCGCCACCCACGGCGCTGTTACACTGCAGTACAGCCAAGACGCTAGAGACAAACGAGAGTCTCAGAAAAGCGTGACACCTGCCAATCCCATTTCTTCCCCCATACCCACTTTCCTCTGTCCTTCCATCCCTCCCTTCTCCGCTTCTTATCTCTTCTCCCCTACCCTCCCACTCCCCGCATCTCCTGCCTCCCATCTCCCGCTGCAGGAGTAAATCAGCCTGATAAGCTTCCTGGGCACCTTAGGCAGCACAGCAGCAGCAATATCCCCACACACAACCTTCCCATCCCCCGCCTCATTCCACAGGAGTCAATCGGCCTGATCGGCCTGATACACGCCCTGGGGCACGTTCCCCCCTCCTCCCTCCTCTCCCCCTCCCCTCCCCTCCCTCTCCCCCTATTTCCCGCGTCCCATCTCATTCCACAGGAGTCAATTGGCCTGATACACGCCCTGGGGCACTTTGGGCCGCGCAGCAGCAGCAACCTGAGCTACTGGGGGCTGGCGGGGTGCGTCAACAACGCGAGCATGCTGGACTATAACAACCGAGCAGATGAAATAGGCAACTACAGCACGGGCACCATCATTATGGTGGTCACCGACCGAGACAGGTCAGTCAAGTCTGGCTGGCTTTGGAGAGTCTAGGATACAGGCCAGGTAATATGCAATAAGCCAGCTACAGCACGGGCAGGGCACCATCATTATGGTGGTCACCGATCGAGACAGGTCAGTCAGGTCTGCCAGCCAGTGACTGGCTTCTGAGGCACCGTTTTAAACCCTAAAGTCTGGCAAGCTTATGCAAGGGGAAACTTCAGCACTGGCACACCATCATTATGTTCGTCAGCGACAGAGTCAGGTCAGTCAGGTCTGGCTGGCTTTTGAGGCACCTGGGAAGCCTAGCAGACAGGTCAGGGTCAGGTGATATGCAATAGGCAACTACAGCACTGGCACCATCAGCATGGTCGTCACCAACCGAGACAGGTCAGTCAAGTCTGGGTGGCTTTGGAGACACGTGGAGAGTCTAGGAGACAGGCCAGGTAATATGCAATAAGCCAACCACAGCACGGGCAGGGCACCAAAATTATGGTGGTCACCGACCGAGACAGGTCAGTCAAGTCTGGAGGGCTTTTGAGGCACGTGGAGCGTCTAGCAAGCAGGTCAGGGTCAGGTAATATGCAATAATGGAAGGAACTACAACACAAACACACCATCATCATGATTCTCTCCCACCGAGACACGTCAGGTCTGGCGTTGCTGACTCACCTCACCGTGATCATGTTTGTCACCCATCAACACAGGTCATATTCACAGCCTCCTATTCAGTGGGCAGTGGCAGTGGGCTCAGTGCGTGCGTTGGGAATTGGGCAGTGGCTAGATATGAGCAACGAACCGAACTTAGGTTCGGTTCGAGTTGTTCGGTTCGACTTATGTCGAACCGAACTTTTTTTCCTGCCAAAAAGGTTTGCGCAAACCTTGCTGAAGTTCGCGCGAACAGTTCGCGCGAACTTTTTTGGTTCGAGATTCAAACCTCGAACCGAACAGGTTCGAAGTTCGAAAGGGTGAAATTCGAACCGTGAGGGGTTCGAATTTGATTCCCGCCAGAAAAGACCCATGTCGACTGTCCCGTCAAAAACGGGAAAGTCGTAGGTTGGCTGCCATTTGAAGGCTTCCAACCCTAGACTCGTAGGAGAGCAGAGTAGATCTCCTCTAGATCTAGATAAACTCTTGCTCACCCATGGTTCCCCACTACCATACTAGATGTGTCAAACGTTAACTCGTTATGTTTGACAGATTAGTGACGCCTATTTATTTTCCAGAGAATAGGGTTAGCTTACTGTTTTTTATTTTTTTACCACAGAGTGCAGTCATTCCGTTTTTTAAGTTAAGGGCCCAGCATACCGTTTTTAAAGGAGGGTTGGAACAGCTACCATGTCGAGTTATGGCCAGCCCCAAAACGGCGCTGTCAGGGAGCACCAAGAGGGGGTGACCGACCGTGGGCGGCACGATTCTCACACGCCTGGTCCACTGGCCAGGTTTGGGGAAGATTCATTGGGACTCCCTGGGTCGGTTCGCACCTTCAGGGTGGGAACGGAGCTGCGGGGAGTGCGCTCTAATTCCCGTGTGGAGGGGGCTGCGGTAGGGGATGACGAGGGTGATGCGGAGGAGGATGAGGAGGAGGAGGAGGAGGAGGAGGAGGAGGGGGACGGGGAGGGGGAGGGGGAGGAGGAGGAGGAGGAGGAGCACGTGGAGTACGGTCGGGTAGGGGAGCGTGGGGATGAGCAGGATGAATCAGGCAGTGGCGAAGGAAGTGAGCGCGCATACACTCCTACCGATGAGGGGGGTGATGCGGCCGATGACGAGGACCACGAAATGGATTATTTGGAGGCGGAGGACGGTGGGGAGGAGGACGAGGAAGAGGGCGACGAGGAGGAGGAGGGCGTTGGCGAAAATGAGGGGAGGCGTACGCGTGGGGGGGGTCGCCGCCAGCAAGGGGCGGCTAGTGGAGCAGGAAGGGGGCAGGCTGGTGGTGTTCGGAGTGGGCGTGTGGAGAAGAGGGGTCGCGGGAGGGGGAGGAGAGGTGGAGGTGCGACGGCGCGTTGTCGCACCTCCCGCGGTTCCCCGCCTGCAGAATCGGTGGACGGGGCTAGGCCTCGGCGACGGCAACGTGCTCCGGCCTCTGATTCGGATCTCGGCTTGACTGTCCACATGTTTGGCCCGAAGACAGAGGGACGGCGCAAGTGCAAGATGTGCCCAACTACGATTTCATGGCAGAACAGCACGACCACATCCGGCAAGCGACACTATTGGAACAAGCACCGTGCACATTTGGGTATCTGGGAGCACAGGTTCAACAACCAGCTTGTGGGTGAGGGTGAGACCTTTCCAGAGAAGGGGTATGAGGGCGTGCCAAATGGGGGGATTGATTGGCCGTATTGCACGCAGTGGCCAAACTTCCCTGGTGCGGGACGTCAGGGCGGCGTTCGCGGAAGGGGGGGTATGGAGCAGTTTGTGGGCCACCGGTTTAGCGTGCGCTCCTGGCGAGAGGCGGTCACCAAGATGGTGGTGACAGGCAACGTGCCTTTCCGCTTCGTGGAGTTGGAGGCGGTGAGTTTGTTGGTGACACTGTAAGGGTTTAGTATGCCTCGATGTCTTGCACTCTTCATGTATGACATGTCCATAAGTGCGCCGTGACACTTGACCACGAATCCTGTCTTTCCTCTTGATTGTCCCGCGCAGTTCCGCGAGTTGATGGTGCTGCTGAACCCGAACGTCGCGAACGTTCGAGTCCTTCCATCAAGGTGGACGGTTGCGCGAGACGTAGTTGTGTATGCTGAGCGCGCAAGACTGGAGGCGATGGCTGATTTGGCACCACAGCCCGGGGAGCGCACCACGGGGGTTGCAATCTCCAGTGATATCTGGACCGGGGGGAACGGGAAGGCCTACTCGGTGGTAAAGGGCCACTTTGTGACACGAGATTGGAAGCTGCGGGAGGTGACGCTGGATTTCCGTGAGATGACAGGGCGACACGGGGGAGAGGAGATTGCGGACTTGGTGCTGGAGGTGGTGCGTGATTGGGACTTGGTGGACCGTTGTGTCGCCTTTGTGTGCGACAACGCGTCCAGCAACACCCGCGCCTTCCACCTCCTCTCGGGTGGTAGTTCTCGCCCTGCCATTTTCCGCCCAGGCATGCACGTCAGGTACGTCGCTTTGATACGCCTTGGATTCGTGTGCCATGAAGTCGTGATGGTTTATGTTGGGGTTACACCACTGCCGGCATGTATGGTTGGTTGTGAACCGTCCTCCCCACCCATCCTCTCGCCCTACCTCAGGTGCACCGCGCACGTGCTGAACTTGGCGGTCCAGACAGCACTGAAGGTCCCCCTTGTGCGCAAGACCCTCCGTCTGGTGCGCGACGTTGCCATCTTTGTTGGTTACTCCCCCATCCGCACGGGGAACTTCCAGGCGGAGCAGGTGCGGGCGTACCCGGGTAGAGCGCCCTTGAAGCTGGTCCAGGACAGCCCTACTCGATGGGGGTCGACGTATGAGATGGCGGTCCGCTTCCTCGAGCTGCGCAGGGCGATCCACGTCCACTTCTACGACGACCAGGCACGACGGTGATAGTATCCTACCACATGCATGGCCATTGCTCCACAGTGTACGTGCTGCCTGCTTGTATTGATTATGATTTAAAGTGACACCCGAATCGATGGTCTCTACCCCAATGCCTCCTCCCTAAACCCCGACCCCAGGGCACGACGCTTAAGGAGCGGAAGCGCTTTAAAAAGCTCCGCCTCAAAGATCAGCACTGGGAGGCGCTTGAGGCGTTGAAGGTATTTCTTGCACCCTTCAACGCCGTCACTAAGTCGGCGGAGGGGTCGCTCTACCCGACCATCTCCATGGTCATTCCAAGCTACAACGATCTTCTTGACAGTTTGGAGGAGAAGCTCCATGGCAACCCGTCCCCGCTGATGAGGACGATGACCGTTGCCGCGCTGGGGCACTTGAAGAAGTACGTGTACGCCAGCAGCGACGACCTGCTCATCGCCACGTTCCTTGATCCAGCGATGAGGGAGGGGTACTTCGCTCTGGGCACGTTTGAGACTAGGCACCCAGAGTTGGTTCAGGGAGGGAGGGAGAGGCGGGAAACGGGCCCAGTGACGGTGGAGCGGATCCTGGAGCTGGTGCGCACACGTGTGACGGATTACCAGGCGCAGGCAGCTGCGAGAGCGCCGGTGTCTCCACCTGCTGCAGCAGCGCCAGCACCTGCTGCCAACATTGAGGGGGATGAGGCTATTGGCAGTAGGCGCCGCTTGATTGCGCGCGTATCTGCTTCACGTGCTGCAGGAGGGTCTAGGCAGTTGGGGGACGAGGTGGACAGATATGTGGGGCACGATGAGACTGGCGACCTATCCCCCCTCGAGTTCTGGCGCACAGTGAAGAACCTTGACACACTGCGAGCCATGGCCAGGGATTACTTGGCGATTCCCGCCACCTCGGCATCGTGCGAGCGAGCATTCTCACAGAGCAGGAACTTGATCACCTTCCAGCGCACACGCCTGAACACCGAGCGTGTGCGGTCGTGCATGACTCTGCGGTCTTGGTACGACACGCACCCTGGTGGTCGTATCGGCGATGGGGCAGATTCTGCCCGTGCTGCATCAGCAGTGGACTTGGGGCTCGAGGGAGAGGAGGAATGCGAGGAGGAGGAGGAGGAGGAGGAGGAGGGGGAGGAGGAGGGGGAGGGGGAGGCGACATATGCAGCGGGTGTGGGAGAGGGCCAGGACTAGGGTGGGGTCGTGTGGATGGGTGGTGTCATCTCATGTTTGAAGTTTCCGTATACTTTCCTTGATTGGAGTGTCGTGACTGTTTTTTACCTCCTCTTTTGCTTCTTTTTTCAGAACATGATGCTGTCCATAAACCATTAGACATGCATGTGTTGTAGTGTAACTTGTGCATCATTTTAACCCTCAAACCTTAAAAGGTTCGAGTTCGCTCAAACCTTCAAAGGTTTGAGCAAACCTTTAGGGTTCGCCATTGTATACTCAAACCTCAAACCTTAAAATTCTGAAAAAAGTTCGAGCAAACCTGTTCGGTTCGGTTCGACCAACATGCAAGGTTCGAAAAGGTTTGCTCAAACATGTTTGAGTTCGGTTCGTGCTCATATCTAGTAGTGGCAGTGGGCTCATTGCGTTGCACTGCTTCTCCCCTCCCCTCCCTGCAGGCCCGTACTGGAGAGCATCATAGGGCAGCCAATCCAGTCAGTGCTGGGCCTGCCCGCCCCAAGGAAGGATCTGTACGGAGTGAACGTGTATGGCAGCATCAACCCCACCTTCCCAATACAGTCCTACACCGACTTCTTGCCTCTCGTCCCTCCGGAACTCCTCACCAACCTGCTGAGAGGGCATGCCATCGCCGGCGCGCCGGTCTCCACTGGACCCGGATACGTGGCAATTGGTGCGTGTGCTCCTGTTTCCTCCGTGCCCTACCTTTATTGGTGTTTCAAGTTTCATCTTCTTTTGATCTTGTGTTTGTGAGACGTCTCAAAAACAACCTCGCTACACGTGAAAGCGTGGTTTGCAACAGGAGATCACCATTCATCTGGTGTGCTCTAATGTTCATCCCTTTCCCGTTCGTGGTTGACTGGCCATGGTGTGAAGCCTCCACTTGGTATCGGGACTACAATGCAAGGTCAAATATAGGCACGGTTCAAAACGGTGCTGCTAGGTGACTAGTTCTCATTCTCATTGACCATGGGCTTTAATTTAATCCATGGCGAGAATGCCATTGTTTTCTATCAAACTGACCATGCATTCTGCCGGCTACCGCATCTGGTATAATCAAGTCAGCCAGGCCTTCGATGCGAAAATTTGTGCCAATTCGTGGGAAACGCTTACAAAAGAAGGGTAGGGACCTTTCGTCCAACCGTTCAGTACACCCATCCCCCCCCTCCTGGCTTCCTTGCAGTGTTTGTCGTTCCCATCTTCCGCCATCCTCCACCAGCCCGTGCATCTTTGCAAGAGATCCGAAACAGCATCAGCATTGCGTGGGCCGGTGTGGTTCATTTGGAATGGAGGGCGCGAGAATTACTGCGCATGCTTGAAAATGGTGAGTTCGTTAGGCATGAGCAACGGGTCGGCCCAGGTCAGGTCAGGTCAGTTGCGAGAGGCGCGGCGGCCCCGAACCAGCCGTGTCGGTTTGGGCTGGTTATCCGGCTCAGGTCGGGTCGAGTCGTGCCAAATGGGAAAACCGGACCGGATTGTTCGGCGGGAAAAGGATGCCGATTGTCCGGATCAGCGAGCGAAAAGCACCGATCCTCGTGGATCAACAATCGAAAATTGCTGATCAGCGCATAGCTGCGGTCGAAACGTGCCAATCCGCCCAAATCGATGGTTTAAAAGGCCGATCCGCGCAGATGGATGGTGAGGTGAGTCAACATGGTGGGTCGGTCGGACAACCTGAATTTGGGTCGGGTCAACCCAACCTGCCCACATGTCACTGCCGAACCTCGACCCTGATGAGCCCTGGTCGGGTCAGCCGGAACATTTCTTGACCTATTTCCGAGTCAACTCGACCCAACCCGTACCGGGCTCGCGTCGAGCAAAGGTGGATGGATCGGGTTGGATCGATCCGAACCGTTGCTCATGCCTAGAGTTCAGCATGTCCTTTTTGTGTGCCCCGAATCCTCCTCTGTCAATATCCCGTTTCACATCACATGCCTTTAGTGTGATTTGCGAGCCACAACATAAATTTATGATTTTATGTTTTGCTACTATGGGCTTGCTGTATGACCCCTTTCTTTTGTGTGAAAACTCTTATCTTGCCCCCTGCTCTAACCCAGCTTGCCTGTGATTCTAAATCTTACATTTGATTGCTTCTTCCCTTCTCTCGTCTCTGCAGGCAGCAGCACATACTCATTTGCCATGTACGACAACAGGGACCCGGGCGAGCTGAGGCAGATATACGGCCCACACAAGACATGAGTAGAAAATGGTTCTGTTTTCCCCTTCGTGCTGCCCACTCCTGTTTTTGCCTTGCTCTCCTCACTGCAGGCAGCAGCACCTACTCATTTGCGATGTACGACAGCACAGAGCCAGGCGTGCTGAAGCAGACATACGGCCCCGATATGCCACTCTTGAAACCGCTTCTGTTTTCCCCTTTGTGCTGCCCTCTCCTGTTTTTGCCTTGCACCACTGATTGCAGGCAGCAGCACATACTCATTTGCCATGTACAACAACACAGAACCAAGCAAACTCAGCTGAGATTCAACCTCTCCTCTTGCTTGTTCCTTCCTCCCCTCTCCTCTTGGCAGGCAGCAGCACATACTCATTTGCCATGTATGACAACACAGAACCACGCATGCTGAAGCAGATATACGGCCCAGACGAGCCACGATTGGAAACCGGCTCTGCCTTTCCCTTTGTGCTGCCCACAACTACGGTTGTGCCACCCGAGCATGTGGAGCCTTTTCCCGAGAGCATGATGGGACGCACATTCGAAGCCCACTGCAGGTATGTACACATTGCGGGTATGTACGCATTGCAAGTTGCAAGCACGAGTAGGGATCAGCAAAGATCGAGCGTCAAGCACCGAAATGCTAGTGCCAAAACACTTGAATTTATGGTTGCCTGAGTGGCAAATCCAACTTCGGAATGTACCCAATTTGGAACATACGACATGTTGTGTTTGACATGAGCAGTGGCTTGTTGGCTAATGGACGGACAGCTCATGAATGAAGAGCCAGAAAGCCAGAATATGAACCCAACGATGTATTGGACTGGAACTTACTCGGTTGAGATTGAGTCTGCAGAACTAGATGTCGTTCGTTACAGGAAAACTTGGTGATCATCTCGCATCTCACTGGAACTCTCATCTCACTGGAACTCGCACCTCTAAGAGGATTAAGCATCCTCTTGCCAAGTTATATTTGTTCGTCTAAGATGTTGTAAAAAGGGAGTGAGTCCCATGCAACGAATTAGGGATGGCCCTATGAAAGAGTTATCAGTAGCTCTCTGTACGTTTTTGTCCGTTTAGATCTGCCCTCGCTCAACTTGCCCGAAAATCCTCTTTTGGCAATGGATGGATAATGCCATTTTGTGGAATATACTGACAGGTGCCATGCCGTTCTGCTTTTCACATGTGTAGGTTCCAGGTTCCCCCACCTGCTTGGGACCTTGTGTATGCTCCCATGCTGCTGGGCCTGCTGGTGCTGCTAGTGGCAGTGCTTCTGTCCACCGTGATTGTGGTGTTGGCTTGGAAACGGAGAAATCTAGAGGAGGATGTGAAAAAGATTCAGCTCTGCACGGCCATCTTGGAGAGAGCTGAGCGGTCCAAGAGTGAGGCGGTGGCCAGCACGTCGCATGAGCTGCGCACCCCAATCATTGGCATGATGGGTGGGTGAGAGCATAGAATGGTGGGTGAGGGCATAGAGTGGTGGGTGCGGGCGTAGAGTGGTTTGCGAGGGCATAGAGTGGTGGGTGAGGGCATAGAGTGGTGGGTGAGGGCGTAGAGTGGTGGGTGAGGGCGTAGAGTGGTGGGTGAGGGCATAGAGTGGTTTGCGAGAGCATGGAGTGGTGGGTGAGGGCATAGAGTGGTTTGCGAGGGCATAGAGTGGTGGGTGAGGGCATAGAGTGGTTTGCGAGGGCTTAGAGTGGTGGGTGAGGGCATGGAGTGGTGGGTGAGGGCGTAGGGTGATTTGTGAGGACATGGAGTGGTGGGTGAGGGCGTGGCATGATGGATGAGGGAATGTCATGGCAGTTTAGGGCGAGGTTGAGCAAAAACCTGAATAGCTGTTCGATTCGATTCGAACTTTCCCCCATAATGTTCGACTTGACTTTGTTCATGTCCGGTTCGATGTAACGCACCGAGCCGCGTCGAACCGAACATTTTCGACATGTTTATCAATGGTGTCGTGCTCGACTCGAATCTCACTCGAGGTTGGCGAAGCCATTTTTTCAAGACTTAAACGAGCACATGTGGCAACTAAGCCCATTCTGCCGTACCTAGTAGCTGTTACATTGAGGGTCCAACATCCAACATTAATTATCAATAAATAAAAAGTTCTCCACGAACCGAACATGTTTGAATCCTTCGTTTGTTCATACCTGTTTGTGGGTTATTGACTTGTTCAAAAAGTTCAGGCAAACATGTTCGAGTTTTCCATTTGCTCATGCCTGCTTGCATTGCACCAGTTGCTCAAGATTTTATTTTGCAGATGCTGTGAAGGAATAATTGGTTTCCTGCTATGGCCCCCTTTTGGAATACATACTCGTTATCCCCCATAGGCATGATAGAAGAGCTACTGGAGTCGCCATTGGAGGAGTGGCAGCGGGCCGACCTGGTAGATGCGAGGGCGTGTGCGGGCGAGACGGTGGAGCTCATCAACCGAGTGTTGGACCTCGCCAAGCTGCAGGCCGGCAGGCTGCAGCTCGAGACTCTCCCCTGCTGCCTGCGCCGCATCGTGCGCGAGGCAACTACATTTGCGCCAGGGAAGAACTTACCAGGTACAAATGTGCATTTGAGTTGCCCTTCTCCTTGCTGTTCAATTCTTCGTGTCTATCGTGGTTTTATTTTTGTTTGTGTGTTTGTTCATTTGTTGTTTTTTGTCAAATGCAGTGACAGTCCATGTGGATGACAGCGTTCCAGAAACGCTACACGGCGATCCAACTCGGCTCTTGCAAGTCATGGCAGAACTTGTCGGTGAGTTGTTCGCTGCACAAATGTAAGGGCTGCTTCAATCAATTAGCCATCTATTTTACATGCTGAGTTGTTTCATTTCCACCATTCCTCCCTTCCCCAAAAGGAGAAAAAGAGAGAAAATAAAAAACCTTGAAAAATGTGCGTATAGTGAAAGATATGGTTGAACCAAACCAGAATCGAACCAAACCAGAATCGAACCATAAAGCTGCTATGTACGCTCACAAACCGGTCCGACCCTAAACCGGTACTGGGTCAGTTCGGTTCTGTGCTCAACCCTATGTTACGTTAATGTTAAGTAGCATGTGGAGGCAAAGTTGATTGTAGAGTCTCATTGAAAGCGTGTTTAGGAGAGGAGAGCATATACCTTCTGGAAGGGCTGGAACTGAACCGATGAGGTCTCAAACTGAATCAATGTGGTTCCGAATTCACGAGGAATTTTGCTTTCGGTGTGGGTTGGGAGACTTGAGAAGGGAGGAGATGGTCGTTAGAGGAGGAGATAAGGTGTTGCAAGGGCTGGGGGAGCTAGGGAGTGTATGAGGGAGGATGTGTCCATGGTCGAGTGGCGTGTTAGACCGCCAATGGCGAGACGATAGAGGAAATGGTCTTTACACGTGCGAGAAGCCGGGTAGCATCAAGAAGCAGTAGCATTGTAGGATGTGCCCAATACACAGCTCACCTTCGGAGGTCGGCACTATTAGGAGGCGCTAGAGGTGTTGTAGGGTTTTCTTATTTGCACCCTTTTGCACTATGCCTGTAAAAACGAATATCGAATCGAATACGAATACTCATTTCCGAATATTTTGCGAATAAGTGTTCAATATCGTATTTGACCGAATACTTGCTCCACGTGGATTGCGAATACGAATCGAATACTGGCGGATTCTAATCGAATACAAATGTGCCACGAATATGCACATTCCACACTCAAATATGGCCAAACGATCCATTCTACCAACCTTTCTAAGGTCTCACCATTATGGCTGTTATTCACACACCTCTATGTGTGCATTTCTTGACCATCTAGCTTACGATTCTTTGACATACATAGGGAAAGGCTTATATTAGATAGGGAAAGAGGAGAAGAGATGTGGACACAAATGTCTCTCGGGGGGTACTTGAATATTTGTCGAACGAATTCTTGCTCGAAACGAATACTTGACGATCGAATACATGCGAATAGCATGCCAATTTCGGATTCGTTTTTTATGCGAGTATTCGATCGAATACCGAATACTATTCGATTGCCGATTACTCGTTTACAGGCATATTTTGCACCATCACCAATGGTGATTTCGGGTGTTACTCATGCCTAAGTGAGATTGGAAGGAGGTGATGGCACAGAAGCCTGTTGATAGCAGCTGCAATTTTTGCCAAGCATTCCAGATTACCCCCTTCTGTGTCTCCCCCATTCTTCACACCCCTTCCCCACCCCACCCACCCCTCACCTCACCCTTCCCTCCTGCAGCAAGTGCCATGAACAACACAGCAACGGGCCACATAACCATCCGCCTCTGGTGCATCCCTCCTCCACACGTCGCCAGCACGCCACCTCCACTCGCTGCTGCCTCAGGCGCCACGCAAGCCTCTTCTAACCCGCCCCCACCCGCCTCAGCGTGGCATCAGCTGGCCGGCTGTGTGCGGCGCTTCCCTCCTCCCACCCGCCTGCTCTGCCTCCCCCAGCACCGCCCGGCCAGCCAAGGGGGGCCTATGGGCAACAAGGGTGAGCAGCGGTGGTGTGGGCAGGTGTGCAGCAGAGACGGTGTAGGCAGTGCAGATGACAGGCACGGGGGGGGTGGGCGGTTGGAGGAGGAGGTGAGGGAGTGGGTGGAGGGGGCGTGTGCGGTGAGGGAGGAGGACGAGTGGATGGTGGTGGTGGCGTGTGAAGACACGGGCGGTGGTATGCCACCCGAGGAGCTGTGGGGGTTGCTGGACCCACATGTCATGTACGGCAGCGGGCAACATAAAGTCATGGTGAGTGTGGTTTGTCGCTTCAGTTCGCGCTGTTGTGCAAGTCAAATGGTCGTTCTGTTAGCAATCTGAGTACAGGATGTGAAATAAGGGATGTGATTAGGTGGTCTTTTGTCCCTCCATTCACCACCATGCACCGGTCCGCTCTGGTCCACTCCGGTCCGCTCCGGTCCGCTCCAACTGTCTTACACTCACTCTCGGGCATGTGGATCCAATTCACCAAACGCTTTGACGTTCTCGGCCTGCATCACCTGAAGCCACTCTAGTTTCACTTTTACAGACTGGCATCGACGCTTACCGCTTGTTTGAGCACCTTGGTTTTCAAGGAGGTGAATACGGTCACATATTGGTTGCTCGGTATTTGAAAGGGAGGGGCAGGAACGACAACATGTCAAGGGAGGGGCAGGAACGACAACATGTCAAGGGAGGGGCAGGAACGACAACATGTCAAGGGAGGGGCAGGAACGACAACATGTCAAGGGAGGGGCAGGAACGACAACATGTCAAGGGAGGGGCAGGAACGACAACATGTCAAGGGAGGGGCAGGAACGACAACATGTCAAGGGAGGGGCAGGAACGACAACATGTCAAGGGAGGGGCAGGAACGACAACATGTCAAGGGAGGGGCAGGAACGACAACATGTCAAGGGAGGGGCAGGAACGACAACATGTCAAGGGAGGGGCAGGAACGACAACATGTCAAGGGAGGGGCAGGAACGACAACATGTCAAGGGAGGGGCAGGAACGACAACATGTCAAGGGAGGGGCAGGAACGACAACATGTCAAGGGAGGGGCAGGAACGACAACATGTCAAGGGAGGGGCAGGAACGACAACATGTCAAGGGAGGGGCAGGAACGACAACATGTCAAGGGAGGGGCAGGAACGACAACATGTCAAGGGAGGGGCAGGAACGACAACATGTCAAGGGAGGGGCAGGAACGACAACATGTCAAGGGAGGGGCAGGAACGACAACATGTCAAGGGAGGGGCAGGAACGACAACATGTCAAGGGAGGGGCAGGAACGACAACATGTCAAGGGAGGGGCAGGAACGACAACATGTCAAGGGGACTTGTTTGTCTAACTGTGCGGACCATGTTGTTTCGAGGTGCGGACTCGGTATGACTGAGCCGTCCTGAAAGTTGGTTAATGGTTCAGGACAGCTCACATTCTGGGGCGGTACAAGCTGAGAGGGCAACGGCGCACTGACATAAGAGAGGATACAATTACTAGGGAGGGCAGACTCATCAAGGGCCATAATAGCTCTCACGGGCAAACTGCCGCTCTCATTTGGTTTGCGAATCCTTCCTTTTCTTGGTTGTTGATTGGCAGGAGAGAATACGGTCGCTGGGGAGGGCAGAGTCATGGAAGAGCCTGGGGAGGGCAGAGTCATGGCGGAAAAGGGAGCGCAGCACGTGGGATCCGATGCAGCGCGATCGCAAGGCAGCTGCAGGGCCCCGCTGGACGCCCTACCCTGTTCGCTTCCTGCTCTCCACCTCCCTTGTGAGTCCCTCAATTTCCCTTCCAAAGATGGTGAATTTCACTCCTCTCCACATGCTTTTGCCACATTTCGTCTGACCTCTGTCCCTTCTCTGCTGGCTGACCTGCTTTGACCTAAATTTCCAGTCTCCATCTTTTCTAGTATACCTTCTACTCTTCCCTTTCTAGTTTCCTACTTTCTACTCTTTCCCTTCTTTATCTTCCACTTGCCTCTCTCTTTTGACCTACCTTGTGCTCTTCACTCTCCTCTGGCCTACTTTCCGCTCTCCTCTCTCTTCTGCCCTACTTTTCATTTTCTCTCCTCTCTCTCAACCCCTCTCCCCCCCTCTCCCTCCTCCTCCTTTCCTTCTCCCCGCATGGCAGGTGGCGGAGATGTGGGGGGGCATGGCTGTGCTGTTCACTTCATCACTCCCGCACCCCCTTCTCTTCCCCTACCACCCCCACTCGCCCGGCAGGTGGCGGAGATGCGGGGGGGCATGGCAGTGCTGTCAGACGCCTCCACAGGCACCACCATTCTGCTGGCGCTGCCCCTGGGGGGAGGGGAGGACGCCGGCAGCACGGGCGTCAGGGAGGAGAATGGAGAGGCGCTTAGCGAGTCTGCAGAGGCTGGTCAGGAGAGTGCGGAGCGGGAGAGCGAATTGCAGGAGGGGGCAATCAATGGACCCGCAGCTGCTCTGCCTCATGCTGCTGCTGCCTCGGTGCAACCAGCTTTGCCGCCGCAGCGGCCAGCAGCAGGGGTGCGAGCGCTGGTGCGTGCGCGCACGTGTCCAGTGGAGATGAAGACGGGCACGGGGGTCGGGGAGGGCGTGGGGGAGGCGGAGCGGGTGGTGCGGGGGGTGGTGGCGGGGCGGGGGGTGGCGGTGGTGGATGACAACGTGGTGAACCGCATGGTGGCGCGCAGAACGCTGCAGGGCTACGGGGCGCACGTGCTGCTGTTCCCCTCCGGGGAGGATGCGCTGCAAGCGCTCTCCTCTGCTACGCCATCCCTGCCCATCCACCTGCTGCTCCTCGACCTCCACATGCCACCCGGCATCGACGGGTCCGTGCCTCGCTTCACCTCTCCTTCACCTCTCTTTAACCTCTCCTTTACTCTCCTTCACCTCTTTATAACCTCACCTTTACCTCTCCTTCACCTCCCCTTCACCTTTCCATCCCCTCTCCTTAGTGCTACAAACATCTCTGTATCGTGGTAATGATTCAATATCGTGGTTTTATTGCTATTTCTGATCGCCACTTGCCATTTACGCTTGTCTTGTGCTTGTCTCGCCGCTTGCTTGATGGATTATTGTTCTCCATCCATTTCTGTGCGCACTTGTGGTTCCCTCTCCCTCCCTATTCCTTATGTTGCCACTCATTGCGTGCTTTTAGATTTGAAACGGCTCGTCGAGTGCGTGCCATGGAAAATGCACAGAAGATGAAAGTGGAAACGAGTGCAACCGACATATGTGAAGTAGCCAATACGAGTGTAGATGATGCATCAAAGCAGCGGCTTTGCATTGTAGCATTGACTGCTGACTTGGATGCAGGGATCAAGAGAGCATGCTTGGAGGCGGGAATGGATGGAGCAGTGAGGAAGCCGATAGTGGCTCATGAACTTGCTGTGGCGCTCTTTGCTGCAGGGTTAGTACAAATTTTGTAGTGGTTCAGTTATGTATACATGCTGAGCAGGGCTTTTTTTTGGATTTTCACTACTCGGATTTCCAGAGCTGTTTTCTAGGGAACTCTGAAATTCAGGGTTCATTATGAGCGTTACTCTGATTTGTCAGAGAAAACTTCACTTCTGAAAAAATTACTCTGGGCACCCAGTGTACCTATTTTTCCAACTCTGAGTGCCCTCTCAAGTATTGAACCCAGGCCTTCTGCACTCCTACCAAAAAAATACGGTAAGCGTTGTGCTACGCGGTCATCGTAAGGATTGCTTACGGACATTATATATTCTGGTTAACCCACCAATTGGGGGGCCCGGGGGGGGGGAGGGAGGATCGGTCGAAATGCCTATACCCTGTACAGAGAAAAGTACATCCGCCACAAATATACACTGGTCTCTCAGAGTAGCTAAAATCAGAACCCTGACAAATCAGAGAAAACTTTATCCTCCAAAAAACTTACCCAGACACGTCAGAGTGACCCCCTAAAAACCACTCTGATTTTCAGAGAAACAGAGTAATTTACTCTGATAAAAAAACCCCTGATGCTGAGTATAGGAAGCTGTGTAATAGTTAGCGGCAGGCCCTCAGATATCAGCGTAAAACACGCTGATTACGCTGATTTTGTAGCTCAGATTTTCGTTTTCCCTGAAAATTCAGCATATGCTTCAATTTTGCACTGAAATTTCAGTATAACCTATTTTGTCACACTGACCATTTTGCGTGTTGCTGTACAAGTAGCACTGACGAATCAGTATAGTGTACTGAGTCACACTGATTCGGACATGATAGGGTATGGGTGTACAGGGGGCGTTCAAACCAGAATACCCGCAAAGACTGATGCTTCAGCTTGCCTTGAAAATTTACACTGAGAAAATCAGCATAAATTTAACCCCCAAGGCTGATTTGGACACCACTTTGGACACTGCACACTGATCGATCAGCATGCCCTGAAACCAATCTGAGGGCCTGGTTAGCGGTATAGGAAGCTATGTATCCATGTTAGCTATAGTATGTATTTATATATTATGAATTGCAGGTAGCTGTAAAGGACCGCAAGAGTATGTGTGCAATGCGCATTAAATCGGCAGGCTATGGAAAGCCGGATATGGAGTATGTTTTAGGAATAAGGGTACATTCCTGTGGGGACACTTGTGTCTCAATCACTTTGTGACACCCAAAAACAACATAAACTGTGTTGTGTCCCAAATGCGAATCGGCTTTCGGCGACTTGTACTGTATTTATTATTGGTCAGCGTGAAACGCGCTGACATCGCTGTCGAATTGTGAAACGACCCGTCATTGTTAAAGAATCGCACGCGACTCGAAATGCCCGACACGACCACATGCACCTGGACATCCGAAAATGCCAATTTTGCGAGGGAAAAGATCCCGCGCATCGAAACCACGCCCCTGCTCGGAGGTTGAAAATACGGGTGTACTGTCACCCAGTCAAATGCACACACCTGTACATCTCTTTTTGATCCCCGCCAGTGAAACGTGTCCAACTGAACCTGCCAATATGTCGCCCTACATCGCGGTACATTCGATGTTTGTGACACAACATTGGGAAAATTAACAGGCGCGACTCGGGAAAACGGGGATTGAGACACAAGTGTCTCCACAGGAATGTACCCTAATATGTTTTACAGACAGTGCAGTACATGCCATTCTCCATTGAAGACCATAGGGGAATATGGCGTATGTGCTTTAACCGTCGGCGCCACAATCCCTGTCTTCCCTCCTCCCAACCGCATTGTTACCATCGTCCTTCTTTCGCTTTTATGTCAACCTCTCTGTCACAGCCATTGTCTGTCAGAATAACGAACGAGAATGAATGAACTATGAAAGAGTTGGGTACAAGTACTAACCCTAATTGGGTTGTATCCCTTATGAGCTACCCCACTATAGCCTACACAAAGTAAGCTATATGACATTTTGACATTGTCGCCTTCCCTGCCCCCCCACCCCCCTTCTCGTCTCTTTGTCGAACATTTCTCTCCATGAGGACCTCGATTGTCCCAGATGGTTTAGTGGCACGGGTGCGATTGACAGAGTAGGGGAACAAAATGGTTGGTTGTATGTGAATCATATTAAATTTAACCGACTCCGATAACTATTGCGCTTTTAAGGATACCTGACCGCCCACTAGCCGTAGCTTACGACCGATGGATCAGGCAGCTTTCGACGAGTGGACGAAGCAAGTTGACAGAATGAAGAGAGGCATGACGGAGTTTACATCAAAAGTGGGGCGGCCACGTATAAAAGACACCGAGCTACGCTAGAGGCGAGGTCAATTGCATCAGCAGCCGGTCGTTTATGATGATCAAGGCACTGATCAAGCGGTAAGAAACAACCCTTTGGAGGAGCGCATATGTTATTTCGCAGAAGACAGCAAATGCAGTAACAATGTTCAAAATTAAACCTACCCGCCCGCCCCGTTCAACCCTACTGGCAATAGCACAACAATGAAGGGGTGCGTGTTCGGCAGAAGGATTTTTTTACTGCGCCGAATGTTAGCAATGATGACACGCATATTAACTTCGCGGTATCGCTTATTGAGGCGCAATGCTGGAGTGGAAGGAGTGAGAGCGTGTTCCTACGGCCTCATATCAGGCCATCTCGTATCAAGATTGTACATTTCGCCTGGTAAAACTAGCGAGAGGTTTTGGGTTAAGGGGAAAATTCAGTGTGAGCCTGATATGAGGTTGCTTGATACGAGGTGTAGGAATACGCTATGAACCTTGGATTGAGGGACTCTGACCGATGTGACACATGCGACAAACGAGACCTCAGGCTCTGCCAAACGATGACCAGCATCGATATTCGTTGTGACCACAATTCGCATGTGGAAGGAATGGGTTGCAGCCTTAAGAAATCATTTTGAGTATGTTTTGCCTCGGTGCACGCTCGCAAGAAGTTGTGTACCTGGCTGCAGTTGGTTTTGTTCAAGACTATATTGGGTCATTAATGGCGCTCGCCAATCGGGTGGATCACAGGATGGACCCTACCTACAGCGTCCAAACCGGACAATCCGGTATTATGTCCTAACACAATCAAAAAAATTACAAGAAGTTTGCGAAAAGGCAATTGATGTTATTTTAGTGAGAACATCGGTTCGAAATTTATTCCGAACTTCAATGAGCATAAATCTTCATGACAGCAGTGTTAAGATAAGTTAGGAGCCATGAGTAGGGTTTTGGACTACCGAGCTAGGAAAGCAACGAGAGAAAGGTGTCAGAAGAATGAACGAAAATGAATGAACTATGAAAGAGTTGGGTACAAGTACTATCCCTAATTGGGTTGTACCCCTTATGGGCTACCCCACTGTAGCCTACACAATTGTAAGCATTAGAACATTTTGACACACCCCCATAGGCAAAGTGGGGGAGAACAAGTGGTCACAAGACCAGTCAAGAAAACTAAAGCAAGCTCAGGGTGGATCACAAAGTCACCACACAGTTTGAGCACAAGCAAAGGGCCACAAGGCCAGTTCACATGCAGAGTTATGTAAAAGAGAACAAACAATACAGTGATCATACCCTAGCAAGTGTAAGCATGCAAGTATATATATAGATCACAGTACAAGCAGAGTCAAGCAGTGAGCAAGTGAGGCAAAGTAGGCACAAGGCCTAAAACAGTAGAGAAGCGCTGATGATCACCAGGCGGAAGTGCCGTGGAAAATATATCAGCAGTGTTGGCCCTAGTGGCCACGTACGCAAGACGAAGCTGGCCACGCTGCTGTAACTCTCGAGCAAGGAAGTATCGCAGAGCGATGTGCTTCGTTCTGTGCTCTAGTCTGTGCTCCTGACACAAGGCAATCATGGCCTTGTTGTCTACGTACAGAACTGGAGGCGAACGAGGCTGCTCTCCCAAGTTAGTCAGCAGGTAGGTGAGCCAGCGTAGCTCCTGTGCAGCCATGGCCCCAGCGTAGATCTCAGCCTCACAACTGGAGCTGAGAACCGAAGACGAGCGGGTAGACCGCAAAAAAAAAGAGCCGGAACCGAGGCTGAAGGTGTAACCCTGTGACGACCACTGTGTAGCCGAGTCAACAACCCAAGAAGCGTTTGCGTGACCAGTGAGGACAACTGGACCCCGTCCTCCAAGCACGAGCCCCATGCCCAACGTACTGCACAAGTAACGCAGTACCCTCTCTGCAGCATCCTAGTGCACCTTTCGGTGCCTACCGGGAGCCACGTAGCAAGCCACGAGGCTGAGAGGGTACGCGAGGTCAGGTCGTGTGCACGTCATCAGGTACATGAGGCAACCCACAAGCTCTGGGTACGGACCACTCGGCTCTACGGACTCGTCCGAAGGTGGAGCTGAGAGCGAGTGGCCGGTAGACACACGAGTGGGCTGTGGCGAGGAGAATTGGAAGCCGAAGCGCTGAAGGACCTGGTGCACCATGTGTGACTGAGTCAAGGTGATGGTGCGCTGTGCTTTGTCCCGGGTGATCTGCAAGCCAAGATAGTTGCGCAGTTCACCCAGTTCAGTGCAGGTGTGTCTCTTCTGCATCTCCGACTTCACAAGAGTCAGTGCCTTGGTGT